TTTAGTATTTTTGTTGTTGTTGTTGTTGTTTTGTTTGTTTGTTTTTTGAGATGGAGTCTCGCTCTGTAACCCAGGCTGTAGTGCAGTGGCACCATCTTGGCTCACTGCAACCTCCGCCTCCCAGGTTCAAGCAATTCTCCTGCCTCAGCCTCCCAAGTAGCTGGGATTACAGGAGGCTGCCACCACGCCTGGCTAATTTTTTTTTTTTTTTTTTTTTTTTTTGTATTTTTTAGTGGAGACGGGGTTTCACCATCTTGGCCAGGCTGGTGTTGAACTCCTGACCTCGTGATTCACCTACCTCGGCCTCCCAAAGTGCTGGGATTACAGGCATGAGCCACCACTCCCGGCCACATGTTTAGTTTTTGTCTGTTTGTTTGTTTTTAAGTTTAAGTTATTTATTTAAGCCATCTCCTGCCACAAGCAAAGGGATGGAAGACCAGTATACCAGTCGTCATTTGATACAAGAAGATGAGCTTAAGGTCCCGTATACTTTTTCTGATCCATGTGCAGAGTAATGGTCCAAACCAGTGCTGTGGTCCCTGGTGCCCAGGTAGTGGTCCAGATTCTCTTTATTCATCTTCGTAGCCAGTTGGAAGTGGATTCACCTGAGGGTTATGGAATAGAGTATGGTTACCATCTCCCCAGGGAAACGGCTTGGTCCTGATGCGGAGATGAGGGTAGGCGATGAACTCGGGTCTCTCGTGCTCTCCGTGGTGTGACTTCAGGTACACATTCAGCATGCTGACTGCCACCCCGGGGAGCGCGACGAAGAAGGTGAGGGTCTTCCACATGCGAGCTGATCCCTCTTTGCCACAGGCGCCACTCAACATAGGCCACCCCAGCTGTGGGCCAGACTGACCCAGCAGCCAAGAAACCCAGGACACACCAACTGCCGCCATTTTCGACCTGGACTACTCCACATGTTTAGTTTTTTTTTTTTATTATTATTTATTTATTTATTTATTTATTTATTTTTTGAGGCAGAGTCTCGCTCTGTCGCCCAGGCTGGAGTGCAGTGGCCGGATCTCAGCTCACTGCAAGCTCCGCCTCCCGGGTTCACGCCATTCTCCTGCCTCAGCCTCCCGAGTAGCTGGGACTACAGGCGCCCGCCACTGCGCCCGGCTAATTTTTTCTATTTTTAGTAGAGACGGGGTTTCACCATGGTCTCGATCTCCTGACCTTGTGATCCGCCCGCCTCGGCCTCCCAAAGTGCTGGGATTACAGGCGTGAGCCACCGCGCCCGGCCCCACATGTTTAGTTTTTAAAAGAAACTGCCAAACTGTTTTCGAGAGTGGCTTTATCATTTTATATTCCCACCAGCAATGCATGAATGATCTGGTTTCTCTGCATTCTCACCAATACCTGGTGTTGTCTCTATTTTCAACTGGAGCCATTCTGATAGATGTGTAGTGATATTTTGTTGTGGTTTTAATTTGCATTTCCCTGATGTTTAATGAAGAATATCTTTTCATGTGTTATTTGTCATCTGTATATCTTCTTTGGTTAGATGTCTTCATGTTTGCCAATTTTCTAATTAGACTGTGATTTTACTGTTGAGTTGAGAGGGTTCCTTATATTTTCTAGTCGTCTGTTGGATATATGGTTTATAAATATTTTCTCCCAGTCTGTAGCTTGGTTTGCAGTGGCACGATCATGGCTCATTGCACTCTTGATCTCTTTTTTTTTTTTTTTGAGACAGAGTCTTGCTCTGTCACCCAGGCTGGAGTGCAGTGGCTCAATCTTGGCTCACTGCAAGCTCCACCTCCCAGGTTCACACCATTCTCCTGCCTCAGCCTCCCGAGTAGCTGGGACTACAGGTGCCCGCCACCACGCCCAGCTAATTTTTTCTATTTTTTAGTAGAGACGGGGTTTCACTGTGTTAGCCAGGATGGTAAATCTCCTGACCTCGTGATCCACCCGCCTCAGCCTCCTGAAGTGCTGGGATTACAGGCATGAGCCACTGCACCTGGCTGCACCCTTGACCTCTTAAGCTCACGTGATCCTTCCACTTCAGCCTTATTAGTTGCTGGGACCACAGGTATGCAACACCACGCCTGGTATTTTTTTTATTTTTTGTAGCGACAGTATCTGGGAGCCTTGCCATGCTGCCCGGGCTGGTCTTGAACTCCTGGGCTCAAGCAATCCTTCCTCCTTGGCCTCTCAAAGTCCTGGGATTATGGGTGTGAGCCACTGCACTCGGCCTCAGCTTGCTTTTTTTTTTTGGAGTCTCTCTCTGTTGCCGAGGCTGGAGTGCAGTGACGAGATTTCAGCTCACTGCAACCTCTGCCACCCAAGTTCAAGCAATTCTCCTGCCTCGGCCTCCCAGGTAGCTGGGATCACAGGCACCCGCCGCCACACCTAGCTAATTTTTGTATTTTTAGTAGAGACGAGGTTTCACCATGCGGCCAGGCTGGTCTCGAACTCTTGGACTCAAGTGATCTACCTGCCTCTGCGCCCAAACTGCTGGGATTATAGGCGTGAGCCATTGTGCCCAGCCTCAGCTTGCATTTTGAGGAATGAAAGCTTCCCACCTTCTTGGAGTTTTCATTCTGCTTGAAGACTACCATCAGACTGTCTAAGGCAGGCGGTTCTAAAAAGGGAACTCTTAAATACACATACAATAAGCTCTACCCTGAAGATTCTGGCTCACGGATCTAGAATGGATATTTTTTTTTTTGAGACAGAGTCTTGCTCTGTCGCCCAGGCTGGAGTGCAGTGGCCGGATCTTGGCTCACTGCAAGCTCCGCCTCCCGGGTTTAGGCCATTCTCCTGCCTCAGCCTCCCGAGTAGTGGGACTACAGGCACCCGCCACCTCGCCCGGCCAGTTTTTTGTATTTTTTTAGTAGAGACGGGGTTTCACCGTGTTAGCCAGGATGGTCTCAATCTCCCGACCTCGTGATCTGCCCGTCTCGGCCTCCCAAAGTGCTGGGATTACAGGCTTGAGTCACCGCGCCCGGCCTAGAATGGATTTTATCTGGGGACCTGCTGTCAGCCATTACCTATACTCCCAAGCCAGCCAAGCCTGACCTCACCAGATCTGGCCACTTCAGGTCTACAGCAGGAGAAACTACAGCAGGAGGGCAGAAGCCAGTCACAAAGGCAAGAAGGTGGTCTTGGGACAGATTCCTGCTGAAGCCTGGAGGCCTAAAAGATGGTCTTTCTCTGCCTGGGAGTGGAGCAAGGCTCTAGCTCCAACTGAGCCAAAGTAAATTCCCTGGGGCCAGGACCTTCTGTCCCTGTTCATTAATTTTTTTTTTTTTTTTCCTGTCGCCCAGGCTGGAGTGCAATGGCACGATCTCGGCTCGCTGCAACCTCTGCCTCCCAGGTTTAAACAACTATCCCACTTCAGTCTCCTCAGTAGCTGCCAGACATCACCACACCCAGCTAATTTTTTTGTGTGTTTTAGTAGAGACGGGGTTTCACCATGTTGGCCAGGTCGATCTTGAACTCTGACCTCAAGTGATCTGCCCGCCTCAGCCTCCCAAAGTGCTGGGATTACAGGCGTAAGCCACCACACCCAGCCTAATTTTTGTATTTTTAGTAGAAACGGGGTTTCAGTATGTTGGCCAGGCTGGTCTCAAACTTCTGACCTCAGGTGATTCACCTGCCTCGGCCTCCCAAAGTGCTGGGATTACAGGTGTGAGCCACCGTGCCCTGCCGGTTTATTGATTTAACAGCAACATTTATTGAGCAGTGCTGGAGTTATAGATATGAGCAAGACAGACTACCTTTGCCCACAAGAAGCTTATGTTCTAATGGCGGGGCATGCGATGTTCTCATCGGTGGGGGGAACATCATATAGAATAATATAGTATGTTAGCAGGTGAAAAATGCATGGTTAGAGCGATGGAACCATTGGCCTAGTGCTCAAGGAAGGAAGAGGGAGGTGTGAGGGAATTATCTGGCCAGGAGAAGGAACAGGTGGTGCAAAGCCCTAAGTGGGAGCACCTGGTATGTCTGAGTAGCAGTGGGGAAATCAGTGTGGCTGGAGGTAACAGAAGGACCAATATCGTGTGGGTCTCACAGACCACTATGATGACTTTGGCTACCACAAATAGGAGGAACTGTTGTGAATTTTCAGCAAATGAGATGTGCTCTCATTTATGTACTAACAGAATTATGCTGGCTGCTAAGTGGACAACAGACGGGAGGGGCAAGTTTGAAAGCAGGGACACCAGGCAGGAAGCTCTTGCAATAATTCAGGCAAGAGGCCAGGTGCGGTGGCTCACGCCTGTAATCCTAGCACTTTGGGAGGCTGAGGCGGGTGGATCACAAGGTCAGGAGATCGAGACCACGGTGAAACCCCGTCTCTACTAAAAATACAAAAAATTAGCCAGGAGCCATGGCAGGCGCCTTAGACCCAGCTACTCGGGAGGCTGAGGTGGGAGAATGGCCTGAACCCAGGAGACGGAGCTTGCAGTGAGCCGAGATCATGCCACTGCACTCCAGCCTGGGCGACAGAGCGAGACTCTGTCTCAAAAAAAAAAAAAAAAAAAAAAAAAAAAAAAAAAAAAAAAAAAAATTCAGGCAAGAGAGGAACGTGGCTTGGATCGGGGAAAATAGTGGGCATGCTGAGACGTGGCCTGGTCCTGGGCACATTTTGACCACAGTATCAACAGGATACTAGCACATTCAATGTGGGGTATGACAGAAGAGAATCAAGGGGACTCAAGGTGTTTGACAGGATCTGGCTGCCGTAGTCTGAGCTGGGGGAGGCTGTAGGTGGAGTGTGTCTGGGACGACCCAAAGTTCAGTCATATGTTTGAAGATGCCCAATTGGGCATTTACACGGAGATGTGGAGTAGGCAGTTCTCTACTGAGCCCAGAGTTCAGGAGAAAATTTGAACTGGAGATAGAAATTCCAGTTTTCAGATGGCATTTAGGGCCAAGAGTCTGGATATGTTGATGGGGGAGTAAGTGTGGATGTGGGGGAGGAGAGGACTCAAGTGCTGGGCAATCAGAGTTAAGGCCCAGCTTGAAACTCAGCCACTGCTCCCCTGATGGGAGGATGTCCTGGCAGATGCCTCCTTATTGAGGACCCTCCTCAATAAGGGTTCCACGGTCTTCTGCTTCAGGGAAAGTCCCAGGTTGAGATATCCCAGGACTGAAGTGTTGCTTTAATTAGTCTCTGTCCTCTGTCTGTTGGCAGTTTAGCAGCTTAGGGGCAGTGGCTCCTGGCGACTTCCCTCCATTAGGGACCCTGAGGCAGTGATCCGGGTAAGGGCAGGTAAATAAGCATCATTTTCTCTATTCACTTTCTTTCTCACTATCTTTCAAGGAGCCGGCGCAGCAACACTTCTTCTCCAAGCATGACAACCGTACTTCCTTTGACAAAGTGAGTGCCGAAGAGAGGAAGAATGGCAAGCAGTCCCCCAGCCTAAGTTGAAGTCTGGACAGAGCAGGTGGTAGGGTGGAGGGGATGACACTGAGGGAGGGCTCCTTATGAAGGCAGAGGAGTGGCTATCTTCCCCCACAAACTTTTTCCTCTGGGAAACAGCCTATTCCCCCAAACAGAGACATCTCTATGTTGGTTTCCTCTGCCAGCTTGCCAGACAATGTGCAAGTATCCTGTGGGCCACTAACTTTCTGGGTGCTTCACCTTAGAATGAAAGACATCACTGGGGAGACAGGCCAAGGAGGCCAGGGTACAGGCCAAGACAGCCCGGCCTAGGACAGGCATCACCAAGCAGACTTGGGGTTAGGAGGGGTCCAAGAAGGTGCTTGGTGCCAGGAATATGGGCCAATGGCCCGTACCGTTGAGGAGGGCCCCTACTGCCTGCTGCAGGGAATTGGAAGGCGGAAGGACCTGGAGCGCCTGTGGCAGCGGCACACCTTTCTGCGCTGGGCACCCTGTGAGATAGAGTTGCGCCAGCAAGGGCCCCTGGAATCTTCTTACCAGGCTGATTTCCGACCAGGCCCAGGACTCAGTGGCCTTCCCCAGCGCCTCGTCCACTTTGTGCAGGTCCAGCCTTCCCATGCCAGGACCACCTACCAGCAGAACTTCTGCTACCCATCCTGGGGTGGCCACTGTGGCAGTTACAAGGTAGGGCCCCAGGCGCCAGTCACAGACATACTGCCTGACCTCCCAGTGATCCCAAGACCCAAGCTGCTGCAGCACTACCTTCATGCTGGGGTCTCTGAGTGTCTAAACTGGTCCAGAGCATTAAACAAGGACAGCTGACACAGCAGCCTCTCTGTGCTTGCAGCCCACAATGGGATGCAGCCCAAGAGGCTGAAAGATAGTAATGGGCTGCCGGGTCCTGTGCCTGTCTTCCATGGCACTTGTGCCCATGGTGTCTGTGTGCTGGGCATGGGAGGTGCTGCTCTGGGATCCCTGCCACTAAGTGAGAAAGGGGAGGCTAAGAGTCCAGGAGGGTTGTCATAGCCACAGCAGGTGGGTTCCAGGGTCCCAAGTACTACTCTGTTCTTGCAGCAAACCCAGCTGTAGAGAGGAAGATTAGAGGGCAGTCCCCAGCCTAAGTTGAAGTCAGGACAGAGCAGGTGGTAGGGTGGAGGGGGTGACACTGAGGGAGGGCTCCTTATGAAGGCAGCAGAGTGACTATCTTCCCCACAACCTTTCTTCTGGGAAACAGCCTATTCCCCCAAACAGAGATGTCTCTGTGTTGGTCTCCTCTGCCAGCTTGCCAGACAATGTGCAAATATCCTGTGGGCTGCTGACTTTCTAGGTGCTTTACCCTAGAATGAAAGGCATCACTGGGGAAGCAGGCCAAGCATTCAGTGTAGCTATGGGGAAAGCAGACCCCAGAGAACTGTACTAGCAGGCAACAAAGGCTGGAAGAAGGAAGAGTTAGCAGCTTTCTCAGGAGGCAGCTGCCTTTGAGGGGTTTGTTGGATGGCCACACAGTCCTGTCCAAGAGATGGCTGCCCCACAGCTGAGGCAGGAGGAGACTGCCCTAGGCCACAAAACCCACTGAACCACCCCTCCCTGTGGGGGTGAGCAGAGACCCTAAGGAGACACTCTGTAACTTGGATCTGGAGGTCTTCCTAACCCTGTGGTATTTTGTTGTTGTTTTCTGAGCACTTCTCTGGTCATCCTATCCCGCCATCCTTTGGTGACATGTGACAGCCCTTCCTTACTGTCCTAGTGCTCTCTAATCCCCATGACAGTAAGGAGGTGCTGTCATCACATGTTGCCAAAGAATAAGCTCAGGCTTAGATGGAACAGAAATACCAAATCACTTTGGTAACACTGACCAGATCCAAGAGGCTCCTTCTGGACCCTCATCCCTAGGAGCATTGAGACCCCCAAAGGAAGGCAGGGGCAGTGGAAGCAACAAGGGAGTTCACACCAGGGTCCACACACTAGGTTTTAGCAGCACTTTTACTTCCACATCCAAACTCCCTGGGTCCTCACAACAGCCCTGTGAGGTAGGTAGGGTAGGAAGGTTTCAGAGATCCCCATTTATAGATGAGGATGCTGAGGCACAGAGAGGTGAAGTGACTTGTCCAAGGTCATACAACCAGCAGTGTAGAGGGCCCAAAGCCAGCATTCCTCTGCTTGAACTCCTGCACTCTGGCCCTCTGGCAGGTCCCACATCCTCTCTATTCTCTGTGTCCCCCACCCTCTCAACTCTCCTGGGTCTACAGGGACCCTAAAGGCAGCCTGGCATCTGGGATTTTTCAGGAATGGCAACTGGGGTGGGCCTGGTCAACTCTAGATAGGAACTGACCCTGAAGAACATGAGGCCAGCTTTCCTTCTCCCCATTTCCCAGTTGGATGGAAGGCCTCGTAGGTCCCAGGGCAAGGATGGAGCTAGGCATGATTCATGAAAGAATGGTGATAAAGGTAGGTGTAAGCATATGTGTGTCCTGCACTAAAGGCAAAGGCTCCCCTAACCCAAGGCCCCAAGGCAGTGTCTCAAGTGCTCACCCCTGTGCCTCTCTCATCCCACAGAGCCACAGTGAGTGTCCTCAGCAGCAAAAGGAGCCATAGAAATAGCTGCCTCTGGCAATGAGCTGCTCCAGTGGACAGCTCCCACCAGGCCTTCAGACCCCATCACGCAGACATAGTGCCTCCACGGCTTGACTGGGGCCCTGGGCCACACCCCCAATAACAAACAGCCGGGGCCCAGCCTGCAGACTAGAGCAGGAGCAGCGGGCAGTGGGCATGGCTGGCAATGCCTCCCAGCGCCTCCTTGCAAGGCTAAAGCTCTCCACAGAGCCCAAAGGACATGGCTGGTTTCCTGCAAGAAGGAGAGAGAAGGCTGTGAGAGGCACAGGCTGTAGGGACTCCAGGCCCTTTTGCTCCCTGAGCCCAGAGAATAGCCCAGTAGGTATCACCCCAGGATGAGCTATCAGTGCCTTGCTCTTCATTGCCTGTGTTCATCATTTGTTCATTCATTTATGTTTCTGTATGTCCTCTTGACTGTGCATACAGTGGTCATTTCTCCTGCTGCTGTCTCGTAGACCCTTGCTGGTGCTTGACAGAGCCCCCAGTCGCTGAGGAACACCCTGAGTGCTGGGCCAGGGAGACCACATCCTGCCTGCTTCACAGATAGGGAAAAGAGCTCACAAAGCCCTGACCCCTGGAGTGCCTGGAGATGGGCAGAAGGTGGCACACATGCTGGGGGCTACTCTTGCCTGTCTTGGGACTCCCTCCTCTCCCCAGCCCCATAGAGACTTACCAAGGCCCCCAATGGCCACAATGTGGCCCCCAAGGGACCCAACCACAAAGTCTGCCCTCTTATCCCTCATGCGCAGGCTGCGGGGCAGTTTGGTCCAGGACCCTGCAGGAGAGGGGAGGTCAGATCTAGTGACGTATGCACTATGCCCCTCCATCCCACAGAGAGTGGCAGGACAGCCCAGGACAGCCACTGCTCACCATGCTCCAGGTCAAACATCTCCACAGTGTTGACAAAGTGTGGGCGAGAGTAGAAGTTGTGGGGCCCAGGCTGCTGCAGGCCACCCAGGCTAAAGACGCTGCCTTCAGCCATGGCGCAGCCAGCAAAGGCCCGACGGCTGGGTAGGCTTGGATGCCGGGTCCATGTACGGGCCTCCAGATCAAAGGCTTCAAAAGCAGTCACTGGGAGCTTGCCCTGGCGGCCCCCTGTCAATGGAATTGGGGTACCTGGGAAGGAGCCCGGGAGTCTTGGTGTGCTCCTTACTCACTAGGTTGCTGATCTGCCTGCCTCAGCCTCCCACATCCTGCTGTGTGCACACTTGCACATGAATCATCCACCCTACAATCCCTCAGATACTGGGGTTTGGTTTTCCAACCACAGCAAGACCACCAGGGGTCAGAGCCTCAGAGCAGGCATGGATCACCCCAACAAAGCTTATTTTGTTCTGCCATCCTGGACTGAGCCCGATCCCTATCCCAGCCAACCTATGAGGATGAGGATTTCTAAACTCTGAGCCCCTTTCCCACATCCCCCAGGCCCTTACCCAGGACATAGATCTTGTTCCCATGCAGGAAGGTGGAGGCCCCATAGCAGGGTGTGGGCATGGAGGGTAGCGAAAGCCAGCAGTCCCGACGGGGCTCATACACACATACCTGGGCCTGGGGGGCCGTGTCAGGGCCCATTCCCCCCAGAGCATACACCATACCATCTGCATAGAAAAGAGTAGTTCAGATTGTACCCCAGCCTGCCAGGGTACCCCACCCTGACAGCTGCCCTGGTAAGGCCTGGGGGTGGCTGGAGACCCATGTGTTTATGGCATCCCTCGCCAGGAACAGACACTCTACTACCTGCCTGCAGTGGGGGCTGGGAGAGCTGGGATTCCTACTCTGGCCAGGGCCCCTCTGAGTAAAGAGCAGGAGGCAGCTGATCTAATTATAATCCGACTCTGTCTCCCTGGAGATGCTATGGCAACAGAGTCTGGCATCCTAGCAGGGCTGGCCTGGGCTGGTGGTCAGACCTGGAGGCCAGAAGGTGGGGACTCCCCTCGGGGAGAAACATGGGGGGATGGCTTAAGCCAGGGGTGAGAAACATGGGGATCAATCTGCTTAGCACAGAGCTCAGTCTGGGGAGGGGGATTGGGGACCAGCTGGAGTTGGAGATGGGGCTGGGAGAGGAATGGCTTGGGTCTGCTGGGTAAAGATACTGTCCACAAGCCTTCTGCCCCAGGATCCCTGCCAGCACCTCTGTGTGACACTCTTTCATTAGAGTAGGCTCTCACCCTCTGTTAAACCCTCAGAGTCAGCTATGATATGTCTGGGGGCCTTGGGGTAATGGGCCAGTCAGCTGGGGGCTTCCATGGGAACCATCCCAGGTCATTTGGCCTTTGTCCATATCAGGCTCTCTGGTGTGTGGGAAGGGTTGGGGGTGGGGCAGGAAGTCTAAGCACAGGCTCTGAGCGGAGGCCCTACTCCTCTCCCCAATCCCAGACTATTTATAACCCTGGGAGTCATTAGGCCATCCCACCCCCATCTCTTAGAAATGAGGAGTGGGGCAAGAACATGGCTGGGGTCTCCCATCATCCTGGGATTGGCTTGGGCTCTGCCTCCCACCTTAGCCAGAAAAGGCAGTTAATAGAAGGCTGCTGAAAGCCTAGCTCAAAGCTAGGCTGGAAAGGATACAGGGGATGAGGCCACATCCTGGGCACCCATGTAAAAATTACAGCTCATGTTCAGTCTCTGAGGATAAGGGACTAAGTCAGGAAATAATAAAAGGTGTTAGGGTACCTGAAGTGCCTGCCTTGGGACGCCACTCACCTCTCTCCACAGTTGCAACCCCCATGGCTGCTTGAGGGAGGGTGGCCCGACGCTCCCAGCGGCCCTCATCCATCAGGAAGGCCTCTACAGCAGCTACTGGGCTCTGGACCTCATCCACACCACCCACCACTAGCACCTGCTTGCCCAGAACTACCGCAGCTGCTCCAGCCCGGGCAGTGGGCAGGGGTGCCAGTGCCAGCCATGTGTGCGAGGCCATGTCCAGTGTCTCAGCAGTGTCCAAGGGCAGTCCAGCCCGGCCACAACCCCCCAACACCAGCAGGTGCCCATCTTGGTGTGCCACTGTGCCATAGACCCGGCAAGTGGGCATGGGGGGGAACACCTGCCAAGCAAAGGTCCGGCCACCTCCTGCAGACATGGTGTTCACTGCCAATGGCAGACCATGCTGTCTGCTCAGACTGTAGGCCTCACTGGGGAGGCATGACAGGGCCTCATCTTGATTCTGCCAGGGCCACAAGAGGTATATGACCAGTCCAGGGACCTTGCCTTCACCTGGAGGAAACAGGGAAAACAGGGGTCAGGGCCACTGACCATTCCCTCAGGAAACAGATAAGCAGCCCATAGCTGAGGGCAGGGCTAGCCCAAAATCACTGGTGGGAAAGGCAGGGGGAGAACCCAACCCCTCTGGCTAGTGCATCACTGTGGAGGCCCTCTTGGAGTGGGAAGGAGGGTAGACCCCAGGTACCCAGGAGCTTTTCCCCTTTCCCACTGGGGCATGAAGGATTCTGCTTCCTACCCACTACCCTAACCACTCAGCAACTGGGTCAAATCTGGGTCTAGGCGGGCGGTAGTAAGGTGATTAGAACAGGACTCTCCATCCAGGACCCTTCCTTTCCCCTCAACAAGCCTCACACTGGTCCTGCATGAGGGGAGTCCTACTAAATCCTCCCCTTACTGGCTTCCAGAGTGCCCTGGGCAGCCTAGGGGTCCCCACGCCTACTGTCAGGGGTCAGACTCCAGAGTATCCTTACAACATCCTGGGGGCCATTCCACAGGGTTAAACTATTCCCACCAGTAAAAGGCCAAAGTCAGGCTGTGTTTCTGACTAGGGGAAGGACTGCACACCAGGGTTCCACACTCTCCTCTGGAGGTCCCCCACAGGAGTTTGCCCATTCCAAACCCCCCAGAAGCCAGATTTCCTGGTGTCCAGAAGTGGGATGGGGGGGGCCGTTGGGGGAATCTCATGACCACAGGACTCCAGGGTCCGAGTTCAGGGCGTTTCCAGCAGGAATGGGCAGCTGGACTTCTGGGTTCCCTCGCAGCAGATCCCCAAGTTCTCCAGCAACCCCTTTCTCTTGGGGGCTACAATCCTGGACCCCTGGCAGGAGTGCCTCCTGGCCCCAAACTTCCAGTTCAAGGATGTGGGGGGCGGGTCTGGGCTAACGCGCTTGGGGTGCTACACCCCGAGCCCCAAACTTCCCCTGAGCGCGGTTCCCGCGGGACTCACCCGCCGGTGCTCCGATGCAGCTAGGGCAAGGGGTCCGCCGTTCGGCCTCTGCTGACGCTGGATCTGGCTGGGGCTGAAGTCGGGCTCTGGTGGGGCTCCGGCACTGCTCCGGCGCGGGGCGGGGCTGGGCCAGGTCCGCCCCTCGCCCCCCTCCCCCTGCGACTCAGAGAAACCTCCGCCCGCCTTAACCCTGCACATGCCGCAGCTGGAGCAGGGCGTGCCGATCCACGGTCACACGCAAACGGACAGATAAACGGACACGTGGACATTGGGCCTGACAGAATTTAGCGTCCGACCTCGGGCAGGAGTAGAAATGAGGCAGCGGCGAGCGACACAACACGTGTATGGCAAGGGGCAGTTCTGAGCCCTACCCAGCCTGGGTGCGCAGGCTGTGTAGAGCAGGCCAGCCGAACCCGAGGGCTTGGGGGGCCGGCGCCTGCCCACCTCCGCTGAGCTCCCAGGAGCCCAAAGACAGGCTTCCCGGCGGCGCCCCCTGGAGGCCACTGGGGGCATGGCCTGGGCCTCTGTCATGTGGGGGCAGCGGGGTCGCCCTTACCTGGGCATAAAGCAGGAATAGGTCTTACAGTGTACACTGAGGCTAGCGGGGGTGGAGGAACAGAAAGTACCGACCCTTCTACAAACCTGGGTGGGGAGAATTCCTGGAGGGAGTGATACTGAGCAGAGGATGTGCTGGAAGAGTCAGAGACCAGGGGACCTCCCAAGTGGGTCACTCTGGCCTTATCCTGTAGGGCCTGAGAGACCTGGGCTACTATACATGTTTAGGATCCTGGGCTTGCCTCTAACCAACTCTGGGGTCAAGCAAGAGCAAACTGGTGTGACAGGGGCCCACCTATATCAGGCCCAGACCTTGGCCCTGCCTATCTTCTGAGCATTCAGAGTATTAGCTAAGTCTTCAAGCTGGGGGCCCATTTGTACAGGTCAGTGGTACCTGTGGGAAGAGGTCCTTGCAGTTGTCTGTGTCTGCTCACTACCTTGTCCCTCTTTCATGGACAGTGCTTATCTTAGTTCCCCCAAAGCAGACCTGGACAAAGATATACACGCATATAGTTAGTATGGGAGGTGAGGCCAAGAAACACCAGCAGTGGCAAGGAGACAAGGAAAGCAGCCAAAAAAAGGAAGTGTCATCAAGCAAGCTACCACTGTGGGCAATTGGGACCAAATCCTGCTGGGGATTCTGGGAGCCAGCATAGAACATAGGCCTTACATTATTGCTGCCCCCAAGAGCAAGGGGAGCTGAGGTACTCATTCTCAAATCTCCATTAGTCATGGGTTGAGAGCTGTTTAGGGGCATTACCTATTAACTCCCTGGCCTACCTCACATCTGGCCTTCCCAGAAGTCTATGGGTAGACCCTTCCCCATGACCAGAGAAGAGAGCCTTCGCCCTTTTCAGGGACTGTCAGTTGGATTCAGTCGGCCTGCACAGAAATGGTGGTGCCAAGACTGGTTACAGACTGCACAGACCCTGACTTGAAGGCCTCAATTCTACTTGTCCCACTTCACCTTGGACTTGCTCTTCAGTGCCCTCACTTGGGGGCACTGTTGCCACCCTCTTGTGATTGCCAATAGGCTTCCAAGAGGCTCACACTGCCCTGCAGTCCCCTTCACATTTGCTACTGTTCCCTTTCCAAGCTCCTTCCCCCTACTTTCCAGCAATTAAGCACTTACAAGCCACTTGCCTTTAGATACCTCCCAACACCCCAAGTCCCTCTAGTCTCCCCTTCCTCCCCTCCAGTCAAACTCTTGAAGCCATCTGTCCTCACAGCCTCCACCTTCTTGTTACTTGCCACCTCAGTGTGCTGCCACTCCTCCCCAAAAATTGTTCTTGGAGGCCGGGCGCGGTGGCTCAAGCCTGTAATCTCAGCACTTTGGGAGGCCGAGACGGGCGGATCACGAGGTCAGGAGATTGAGACCATCCTGGCTAACATGATGAAACCCCGTCTCTACTAAAAAAAAAAAAAAAACTAGCCGGACGAGGTGGCGGGCGCCTGTAGTCCCAGCTACTCGGGAGGCTGAGGCAGGAGAATGGCGTAAACCCGGGAGGTAGAGCTTGCAGTGAGCTGAGATCCGGCCACTGCACTCCAGCCTGGGCGACACAGCCAGACTCCGTCTCAAAAAAAAAAAAAAAAAAAAAAAAAAAATTGTTTTTGGAAAAGTCATCATGGAATACCATACAGCTAAAACTATATGTGCCTGTGGTCCTTAACTAAATCTTGCTAGCATCTAGCATCTTCAAAGTTTTGCCCCTTGTGACCTCAACTTCCTCCTGCTGCTTGTCCTGCCTCTCAGAATCCTTTTTGTTTGTTTTTGTTTTTTGTTTTTTGAGACACAGTCTCACTGTCGCCCAGGCTGGAGTGTAGTGGTGCTATCTTGGCTCGCTGCAAGCTCCTCCTCCCAGGTTCATGCCATTCTCCTGCATAAGCCTCCCTACAGGCGCCCGCCACCACGCCTGGCTAATTTTTTTTTTTTGTATTTTTAGTAGAGACGGGGTTTCACTGTGTTAGCCAGGATGGTCTCGATCTCCTGACCTCGTGATCCGCCCGCCTTGGCCTCCCAAAGTGCTGGGATTACAGGCATGAGCCACCGTGCCCAGCCCACCTCTCAGATAAATAAAAATATATATATATACACACACACACACATATATATATACACATACATATATATATATATATATATTTTTTTTTTAGCACGATCTCGGCTCATTGCAACCTCTGCCTTCCAGTGGTTTCAAGCGATTCTCCAGAGTAGTCCCAGCCTCCTGAGTAGCTGGAACTACAGGCACGTGCCACCACGCCCAGCTAATTTTTTGTATTTTTAGTAGAAACGGGGTTTCACCATGTTAGCCAGGATGGTCTCGATTTCTTGACCTCGTGATTTGCCCACCTCGGCCTCCCAAAGTGCTGGAATTACAGGCATGAGCCACTGCACCCGGCCTAGAATCTTTTGCAGGCTCTGCTTCTTCTCCATCACCAGGAATTGGCTCCTCAAGATTCAACCCTGGCTTTTCTCCCTGGCACACATATTTCCTCTTGAGGCAATACCTCCCAAGCCACTGCCTTCATTCACATCTAGATCTCCATCAGATCTCTCTGCTCAGACAGAGGTGGGTCCAGGATCCACTGAGAACCATATGAGGCTGGAGGAGCAGGTGGCTTACTCGTGTAATACTAGCACTTTGGGAGACTGAGGTGGGCGGATCACCTGAAGTCAGCAGTTCGAGACCAGCTTGGCCAACGTGGTGAAACCCTGGCTCTACTAAAAATACAAAAAATTGGCCAGGTGCAGTGGCTCACGCCTGTAATCCCAACACTTTGGGAGGCCAAAGTGAGTGGATCATTTGGGATCATTTGAGGTCAGGAGCTTGAGACCAGCTTGGCCAACATGGTGAAACCCCACCTCTACTAAAAATACAAAAATTAGGCTGGGCACGGTGGCTCACGCCTGTAATCCCAGCACTTTGGGAGGCCGAGGCGGGCAGATCACAGGGTCAGGAGATCGAGACCACGGTGAAACCCCGTCTCTACTAAAAATACAAAAAATTAGCCGGGCACGGTGGCAGGCGCCTGTAGTCCCAGCTACTCAGGAGGCTGAGGCAGGAGAATGGCGTGAACCCGGGAGGCGGAGCTTGCAGTGAGCCGAGATCACGCCACTGCATTCCAACCTGGGCGACAGAGTGAGACTCTGTCTCAAAAAAAATAAAAATAAAAATAAAAATAAAATACAAAAATTAGGCAGGCACGGTGGCAGGCACCTGTAGTCCCAGCTACTCTGGAGGCTGAGGTAGGAGAATTGCTTGAAACCGGGAGGCAGAGGTTGCAATGAGCTGAGATTGTGCCACTGCACTCCAGCCTGGGCAACAAAAGAGACTCTGTCTCAAAAAGAAAAAAAAAAGGAAGAAGAAAAAAAAGAACCATATAAGATGCCAAATGGAAAGCAAGGACTGGGTCCTGGGATCACCCTGTGTTCTCTCTCATCTCATCCCATCTGATCCCAGTTGTGCCTGTAGGCTCAGCATCCACTAGAGTCCAGGTCAAGTCAGACTGCACTCTGACGAGTGCTCCCAAAGAGTTCCATCTAGGGCATACTGGGCACCAGGAGGCAAAAAGTTAGGCCCTACCACCCCCAAAGGGAGCTAGGTACCCCATGATCCTTACCCCTAATCTCTATCATTTCCCCAGTTCTCATGTCTGGAATGGACACAGCAGAGCCAGAGGATTGGACCTACCCTTCCTCGTTCTCCATTTGCCCTAACTTCTGAGTTGAACATCACCAGAGAGAGGTCTGGATATACTTGCACTGGTGTCATCCCTGGAGGATGGGCTCTCACTCTCTATGGAAGGGGTTTCTGTTTGCACAGCCATGGCCCACCTGCACACAGGAGGCCAACACTGCTGGCTTTGGAGAAGCTGTACAAGGCAACTGGTTGAATTGGTCCTGAGAGAGTGAACAGTCAATCCTCAACCATGGACAGGGCCAGAGACTGGACTCACCCACAGCTGGGGACTGGGGGCGCCAAGATGGGGCTTCCTGACTGCACCCCATGAGACCCTGGCCCTTGGGACCCTTCTCTTCCTTTCTTTCCACCAGCAAAAAAAAGGCTAGAAGCACTGACCCCAGAGGAACAGGAGATTTTGCAGTTCCTGCTAGATACCTTGGCTACACTTAAAGGCACCGAGGACCTCACCATCAGTGCTGAGGCTCTGGGAAGCTAAGAGGCACCAGATGAGGCCTATGGCACTGCTGGGTGAACTAGGCACTTGTCTTTAGGAGTGCCTGGACCCCTCTGTATAAGCAGGGAAAATACAGAGCAACTAGAGGATCCTGGGGTCACATGGGCAGGAAAAAGGGCTAGTACCCAGTCCCTAAATGAAGCATACCACCACCCTCCTGTGATTGCCAATAGGCTTCCACCTGACCCTAACTACCAAATAAGGCACCACTGCAAGGGTCAAGGTCCAAGAGTTGTGGCAATATTTCTGCCTTCTGGCTCAGGCTCTGACCCTAGTTCAAATGCTCCCACTACCTCATCCATGAAACCAGGGCTCCCAGGATGGCTCCCAACCTGGACTTGGGAACCTGTGATTAATGGGACCTTCAGTCAGAGCTGTGGAGACCACTCTGACCTCTCATTGAAGTCACAGACCCCTAGGGTTGATTTTGACCTGTATCCTATAACCACCACCCCTGTACTAGCCCAAGAGCACGGGTAAAAAGACTGAGGTCCCAGACTCCTAGGCAAAAGGAAAGGGGTTCTGAGCAGTGTTAAGACTGGAGGCAGGACTTCCTTCCATTGAGGGGCTGAGGCTGGGCCAATGACTATACCTGCCCTGACCTGCCTGAGCAAGTATACTCAGGCCCACAGTGGTATACTGGAGCTCCCAGACTCAGTATGCATTTGGGCTTGCATGCACCACTTGTGACCACGTGCACACCAGCCTTTCATGCCATGTGCCATGGGCCCTATTCTCAGGAAGAGAGGAAGGCCTGCTGTCCTTGGAGGAGATACCCTTACTGCAAAACAAAGGAGATCACCTGAGACTCCCTATCAGGAGGCACTCCTCTTTCACCCTCTGGTCAGGTGTCTGGGACTGAAGTGGGCATTGTCAGTGGCTAAAGGAAGATCAGAGGGTGGAACATGGCCCGAACCTTGCCAGGAGCCCCTCCCAGATGTTAATGCACCACCAGCTCCCCTCAGAAAAGGTGTCAGATGACCCCTAATCCAGTCTTAGCTGGGCTGTAGTGAGTCCTTGCCTGGGGCCACGTCAGAGGGCACCTCTGTTCTTCAGCTTTCTGCACAGGGCCGAACGGGTTTGGAGCGGTCACCGCGGCCACCACCTCCAGGCAGTCCTCCTTGGTACCCAATCTGCTCCGCCCCCAGACTTTGGGGGGAAATGGGGTCTCGGGGGTCAAGGGTCATTAGGGCGGGCTGGGTCCCGGAAGCGGAAGCGCAGTACACTTCCGGCGCGCAGCGGGCGGCCATGTTGGAGCAGCGGAGGCGGCGCAGAGGCGCGTCTTGGGTCCCCGCGGCGGCGCCGGTAGGTTGGAGCCGCGGGCCTAGCCGCGCCGCGGAGGGGTAGCCCGCGAGGCGGCAGGGCGGACGGGCAAGCGGCCGACTCTTCCCGGACCCGCGTCCTCCGCCGGCCTGGCCGAGACCCCCCCCCCCACCCCCACCCCGCGCCCAGCGACCCCACCCTGGGGCTGCGCGGTCCCGGTCGGGCTAGCATCGTTCACCCTGTACATTTCGCTGCCTCAGTGACCCCCACCTCACGGCTTGGGCCCTAAGGACGCGCACTCCCAGCCTGAGGGCCCCGATCTGCCCCCTCCCCCGTTCCGCCTGTATGGCGCCTGTCTCACTCTCTCACCCCCTATCTTCCGTCAGCTTCTCCTGCCTCCCCCGGGGGCACGTGTGAAGGGAAGTCGGGAGCCGGGCAGCAGCCTCTGTTTCCGAAGCTTCTCGAAAGCCCAGAAAACCCCTCTCAAGAGCCCAGCCTAACCTGCGTGGAAGATCCCCCAGGTCACCCCAAATATTTGCGTCGGGGCTTGTGTGAGGATGGGAAATAGGTCCTTCTCTCTTCTACAGTTCACAGCTCTGGGAACTACATCCCCTCAAAAAATATTAATAAAGAACTAAAGTCATGTGCAAGGATTGTGCTTGGAGAACGGTCTCTGGGGTGGGGAAGTGCCCAAGACACCTGAGGATCCAAGAATGTTTCCAAACAAAGAGCCCCAGGGCATTTCCTCCAGGGTATTCTGAAGACTTCATTTGCTGCATTAGAGCGGTGGGAAGAAACTACACAGAAGGGCCTCATGGCCCGAGGGACCTGCCTGATCCTGGCTGATCTTTTAATGCTCTGGTGCAGCTGGGGAGCTGCCTCCTGCTTCTGGGAGCCC